TAGAAGCCTTTCCTTCAACAAATTCCTCTTTAAAAAATTCATTACAACAGTTATCCACCAAAGGCTGTTCCTTAGAAAATGAATGCCGAAAGGTTCCCTAGTCAACTACATTTAGGAATTCCTGAGAGGCAGAAGAAAATAGAAAGGACAACCTGAATTCCTGATTTATTGTATTCTCAAGGTGGCATTTAAGTACCATGGGAATTCCGGTTCAATTCACATGTCAGGGGCAGTGAAAAGTCAGGGGAAAGAAGGTGTAAGAAGAACACGCCAGGCAGGGGTCTACTGGCTCCTGCTGTGAGTGCTGCCTACACACGGGGCTCAGGGATCCGACAGGCCAGGCGTGAGGGGAAGGGGCCCCAGGGGACTTAACAACCCAATGTTCAAATCAGTCACTTGAGCGATTTCGAGGTACATTGCCCGTTATTAGAGCCATTCATTTAACCCTTCCCGGACAGCACGGGTCAAGCAGGGCACTGGAGCGGCAGGGCAAAACCGCGGCCACCAGGCCTTCGATCAAAATACCATCTGAACAAAGCGGCTCGGCCCGGCGGGGGAGGGCCGCAGTCGCTCCCACCGTGAGAAGGGCAGGCCGCTCCGGCAGAAGCGACGAGCCCCAGAAGGCCTGTGTGCATTGGTCAGTCCGGAGACACAGGACCTGCTGTAGGCATCTGTTAGGTACAACACCTCCTTGAAGTGCTGTCGGCCAGGTGGCTTCCTCATGAAGCCCTACGGACGGCAGGCCTAGGAGTTCACTCACAGAGCACCGCACGCACGCCGGGGCCTTCTACAACACGCTCTGCTCTTCTCCGCACCCTTTCCAATGTCTGGCACGCAAACTCCAACAAAGAAAAGTTCAACATTTTGTTCAAGTCTGCAGAGCCCGTCCGCGGCGGGCAGAGGGTAAGGACCAGGCAGTGCCGGCGCCCAGGTCACTACTTCCCCCCCATCGCCGACACTGCGTCCCTGCTGTCGGCCAATGAAAAACACGATCGGAATTGGATGCCGATTCTCTCTTTGCAAAAAGTCACTGCATCATGGCACACTCTAACAACACTGTATCAGAACACGGCCTTAGAGCAAATAGTGAAACAATCGTAAGCGGGGGGGATCAAATAAGCAACTTAAAAACAATGACCTCTCTACCAAATTTTCTTTAGGCAAAAGAAGAAGGCCTGCCTGCCAAGATCAGATGTGAAAAGGTTCGAAGAGGCTCTGCAGCCTGGAACGAGTGGAGAACTGGTCAGAGACTAGTTTCCCTCCAAATCCTGAAATATACACAAACTGCTGGTCCACAATTAATCCATTACTCAGCACTCAGAAATGATTAAACATTAATGAGGAATGTGTAAGGCCTATTACAAAAAATAAAAAGGTTTCGGTAACTGAATAATCACGCCGTGATCCTAGGAAGGCAAGCTAAATATTATGAACTTGTCCATCACCTCTAAGTCAATTTATGCCTTTAATACAATTACAACCAAAATCCAGCCAGATGCATGGATGGATTTAAAAGGAGATTCTAGGGGCGCCTGCTTGGCCCAGTCGGTTAAGTGTCCAAATCTTGGTTTTGGCTCAGGTCGTGATCTCACAGTTTTGTGAGTTCGAGCCGGGCATTGAGCTCTGCGCCGGCAGCACGGAGCCTGCTTGGCACCCTCCCTCTCTGCCCATCCCCCACTTGCGTGGTCTCTCTCTCAAAATAAATTAAAAAAAAGAAGAAGAAGAAGATGACTCCATAGGATACAAGAACCAGAGGAAATGAAGTCCAGACTTCACCAGGTAACAACTTACAAGGCAAGAGACAGAATTATATTTATTCATATAAAAAGAGGTATCCAAACCAAGAGGAAACACAGAAATAGACCCGCTTACATGGAAGAAAATATTTTGGATAAAGCCAGGCATGGTCAGGATGAGGGAAAATGGAAGCATTATTTTGTAACTGGTGCCGATTGGCCAGTAAGAAGAGGAGAAAAAAACTATTGTGCCCTGCACGTTAAGCCAAAAGAAATCCATGAAGAGCTAAACAAATTTTAAATTTAAAAGGAAAATAAACTAATTACTGGTCAGATTTTTAGGGGGAAAAAAAATCAAAGAAAGCAAGAAAAAGGAACCACAGGTGTAACTACACGAACATACAGAACTGCTACATGAAAAACTTTATAAAAGTAAAATGGCGAGGGAGAAGACGGCACACGTGTAACAAAGGGGCCCAGGCCTCCCAGCAGGCGGGCCTGCAGAGACGGACAGGTCAGCAGCAAGGTGGCCATCAGCAGGTGGAGGGCCTGGGTGACGGAGGTGATAGGCAGCCGCTAGGAGGACGACGAGAGAGCACAGTCACGAAGTACCCGGTGGAGAGTGTCCTCTCCTTTCCCTCATGACGACGAGTGGAGCGACCCGGCGCGGGACGAAGAGCTGTAAGAGAACGGCCAAGCGCCGCAGACCCCACTCCGCCAGCTGGACGCCTGCGGCCACGGGACACATACATGCTCTCGGCACCGTCCCCGCTCCAAGGCGTGAGCTCACGCACGGCGTACTGACGGCCGCCGAGCTTCGAGACGAGCGTCAGTGTCCTGGCTGTTTCTGAGATAAGCACAGAAAGACAAAGGCGATGGAAAGACGCATGCGTTTCGTGACACTCGGGATGCGTCGCACCGAGACAGTGGCCTCCCACCACCAAGGGCCAAATGCTTCTTTGGTTAAGCTCTCTAGTCCAGCGCTAAGGATGGCAGATGAGTCATGGGCCTCAATTTGTGCACACAATCTAAACACAGCCCTGAATTAAAATTTACACTCCAAACTATAAGAATAAAAAAAAAGGGGGCACCCATGTTTCTCTTACTGAACATCTACAGTTAAAAATAAGTAAAATACCATCTGACTTCTGGATATGAGAAAGAAAAGCAGAAAGCAAACCAGACTCTCAAGGCAAGATTTATTTTAGTGGACATATCATGGAAAGTTATCATTCCAAATTTGTCTTTTTCTTCTAAAAATGGTCCGTTAACCTTATGTGAGAGGTGAAAAATGATGAATTAGGATGAACCTCCGCTCTCGAAAAGTTCACATGCAAGAGGATTTTACCAGACCCAAGTAGAGTCACAAGTAAAGGTAATCTGACTGGATTTACTCTGAGAAGAAATTACATGTAATCCTGTCAATATTAGTGATTTGACCAAAGAGGTTCATTTTGTTCCTTCAAGTAGTTTTTTACCCATTTATCACCTTCCTTTGCTTAGAAAATGAAAAAACAAAACAAAACAAAACAAAACAAAACAAAACAGGAAAAGCTTACAAGATCTTTACTTGGAAAGGGTTCTTCTACAAATAGTATTTTGGAAGCCTCTGAATGAGAAAAGTAATTTAAGGCAAATCATTAGCACATAACAGAAGCTAACTGTATAATAAAACATTCTTCCATGATCTTGGAATGTCCTCTTCTACTCAAGAACTTGAACGCTACCATCACCTCAGTGAATGGCTGCAGATAAGCCTCACAGGTACAATTTTCAGTTGAGATCTCTGAAGGGCTTTAATTTTCTAAGAACGTTTTTGAGTGTCTGCTTCTCAAGCTTTTTTTTTTTTATTTTGGCAGTATGTTGCTTTCAAGACTCAAACTTTTTCACTAAGTCTTCTCAGTCACCTGAAACAGTGCATCTGTGCAGCTCGGAGGCTTTTGAGTGGACACATACTTATGTGACAGCTCAACTTTCTCTTGTAATGTCACCCCAGATGAAAAACATGAATACAGTAGACTCTCTGCATGAAACCTTAAGACAGTGTATATCTTAACATGGCCAGTCGTATGATTGTTCAAAGTATTAATACTATACTACTCTATACTATTCTAATCCCACCCCCCCCCACCCCCCGGCCTCAAAATGTTGAGGCAATCTAATACCCCGGTAGTAGAGGGACAGTTACGTATTTTTGCTTGATTTACTGGGGGAAAGATGACACAGCCATTAGTCTGGTCACTTACTTGGCAAAAACCAAGTGAACCCCTGCTATGTGCCAGATGCTGGAGAAAGACACAGGCCCTACCCTCAGAAGTCTCACAGTCTGGAGAGGAAGACCGACATCAAACAAATCTCTTACCTTCCTATGTCAACACAAACCACGTTAAGCACTATGAAAGAAACCTAGCGGGTACCCAGCTGGGATGGGGGAAAGTGCGAGAGAGCTATCTGGGCTGGACCCCGAAGGGTGAACAGGGGTCACACACGTGGGGAGCTGGGCCCGAGAGGCCGAGGGGAAAGACTCCATGTGAGGAAGAAGGAGCAAGAGTGGAGAGCAGTTAAGGGCCCACTGTTCTAGTCCAGGGGCCGGGGGAAGGGAAGGGGCCTGGGCCAGAATGGTAGCAAAGGAGACAGACAAGTGAGCAGATTATTTGACAGAGAACTGACGGGAGGGTACGGCTATAACAGAGGAAGAACGTGGGGCAACATGAAAAGATGGGCAGGACACAATGTTTAAAGGTAGGGACCTCAAAGAATACAGGATTCAGTCAAGCAAAAAAAAAAAAAAAAAAAATAGATGGACGGATAGATTTGAGAATAGTGAAACTATCAGTAGAATTAGGCTGTAACGTTGTTACGACTTTTATACTTGTAAAAACACTTCCTGAAGGAAACGAATTGCTAAACTATAGTACATCCACCTAGCAATCTAACCACTAAAAACTCTGACCAAAACTAGTACCTTCACACTCAACAAAAATATTATGATATAAATTCCAAAGTACAAAATATGTACTTGCAGACACAGTACGATCAAGCCACATTTTGAAAAAGCTAACCGTCTAGGAGACTATATTTGAAACAGCAGAGTATTTCGTTTGCCAGTAAAACACAAAATAGTGTAATTATTTAATAAAAGCACAGAGAAAAGGAATCAGAAAAACTAAAATATATAACCATACAGACAACATACACAAAAGAAAGTATCAGTATACATGCATTTGCTAAAAGTACTAACATCTAGATACAAATCATGTTTACCTTTCTTTAATGAAAGTAACGCCGAAGTGAAGAACGTCAAGTAACCAGGAGGCTGCGGTGAGCCGCTGAACTCAAAGTACCCGAGGACTCCAGGCTGCAGAACAAGAGCAGAATTGGGTGCTGAGGTACCTTCGGCCACAGCATGACGGGAATACTTTAGAACAAGACACGGCATTGTTATTTGGCAATTGCGATGTGTTGCGTTTCATTTTAAAAAGTTCGGTTTAAAAACCGCGTGAAAAGTTGCGGGAGAGGCCAGGGCTCTCCCTCCAGGTAGGCAGCAAGCAGGGCAAGGACAGAGGCGCAGTGGTGCCTACAGGGGCTGTCAGAGCTGAAACCGCCTTCCCTCTCCCCAAGGTCTCTCTGCGGACAGCTCTCCTAGGTCCCTGGCTAGAAACCTCACCATCAAGGTCAAGCACTCGGGCCTTTTGTTTAGCATCCCCAGGCACGCTGTGTCAGTGATTTCTTTGTAACCTTTCTCGGATTTCTTCCTCAACCACTTCCTCTCATTCGCTCCAAACATGCCTTCACACTTACTGGAACTAGGTTAAACGTGACCACTTGTGTTCAAGGTCTTCCTTCCGGGGGCTCCTTCCCGAACCCCCTCCCCGAAGCCTGCCGCCCCACACAATGGCAGTCCTCCTCGCTCACCGGGTCTGTCTGCAGAGGGCTCATCTCTTTCTCTCCTGCTCCCCCACCCCTGCAAACTCATTTCCTCTGCTCATTCCATGTCTCTTAAGCTTTAGCACAGAAACCAAGCCAATTAATTGTCCCGACACACTCTGCCTTTCAGGTCAGAATCATTTCTTCCTTTTCCAAAGGCTCTAAGGCACAAACCCTATCTGGCGTTGTTCTGTGAGACTAGTATCTGTCTTAAGGGCCAAGCTGGGAAAGAGTGCAAGGCCTGAAGCCCCAGGATGACAGCGAACGGCCTTGAGGGGACCCTTCAGCGGCAAGCCTCAGCTTCCTTCTCTGGCAACAGGGACAACGCATCACAGGGTTAGTGAGAAGAATGAGCTCGAAAAAGGACTAGGCAAATGTAAAAACTCTTTTCTAGCCCGAAAGAATGTTCTTTAATTAACTGGAGCTGATCTGATCACTGAGACAAAATCGGATCCCAAAGCTCAAGTAGAAATTTAATCTGCTGGTAAAATTTTCTATCAGTACACTGTATAAAAGAGGAAATTTCTGATCTGTAGTAGAACTTTTGCTCTTTCAAATCTAAGTCACTTGCTTAACCTCGTAACAGATCAACTGGTTTTTAAAAGCCGCGATGGTCAGAGTGTTTAATTCTAACACCTAAAAAAAATCATAAAAATAATTTATTTTCAAACAACTGAAGAAATCAAAAAGCAAAACTGAAGACAGAGTTTTCTTTTGCTTATCTCCTTCAAAATGTGTTTAACAAGCCAACCCAGAAACAGCTTAAAGGAGAATTATAGTGTTTGCATTCCTAAGGTTTCAGACAAGGCTCTGATGGTAACAAGCCTTTCTACCGTACACAAAGAAAGACAAAATCTTTACAATTTCTAGCCACTGAGTTAAAACTGGGCACCAAAAAATAATAAAAATGGAAACTGATGGAAAACAGACTCATTTAAGTTTCTTTCAATTCTGACCAATCTTCCAAACCAAAATCAAATGGAATAAATTCATTCTACATATTAATAAAACTTTCGTGGCTAAAAATTAAATAAGCTGAATTTCAGCCCTCTTCTCGTGTGAGCAGAAGTGGACATATTACCTGTGAGCACACATGTATCTATGTCCATGACACAAGCACATGCGTGTTTACACCCACATGTGCACACAGCAATAAGTAAGAAAAATCTGAATTGAGTCTTCGAGGAAAACCCAGATTAAACCTTTAAAAACGAGTAATGGCTGAACCCTCTGCAGGGGTCCTGTGTAGACACCGCTACGGTGTAAAATAAAGGTTTATTCTTGTTGCCTGCGTCACTGCCATTTTCCGAGGAGCCATGAAGATTGGATGAAGGAGACGAGACTCGCTTCGGAAGAGCTGGTATTGAAATGTTCATGCAGTTTGACCACAGAAATTCCATGAACAATACAAAGCAAACAACCTCATGAGAAAAATTACTTTCACTTTTCATTGCCAAAGGAATGAAAAGCCTGAGATTCAACCCCTACAGGAGATAATAAAAGCCTACAGGAATTGTCAAACAAGAGCCACTCTGAACACAGGAAATGGGCAAAGTGGATTTCAAGTATTATTTTTCAAATATTGACAGGACCATTCACGGTCTGCATTAAATTTGGAAAGTTGGCATGTTTGAGAATGTAACTGGAAATATTTCAAAATAAAAAAAATAATAAAGTGAGGTGATAATTATCTGTTTATTTCTACTACAAATTACCACTGAAGCGGTACTAACTTGGCTCTGGTCGTGCTGTAAATAAAACAAATACCCCGACCACGTCCCTAGAGTTTCGCTGTCTCGGAGCCATGCTTGGCCTCCATGGTTCTGTGTAAATCTGGAAGGGGGGGGTTGGGGAACACAACACAGAGTCGCACACGAGGACCTTGCTGGATCTGGGCCCCTCGTCTGCTCAGCCGCAAACACACCCGGGGCCGCCACAGGGCAGACGACGCTATCCCGCCCTCGCACACCTGCAAGACCCTGGGACCAGCTGGCGGACACGGGAGCCAGGCGCGGGCACACAGGCCGTCCCTTCTCACCGGAGGCTGACCCACGTGGGAGGTCCCCATCCCCACGTTCCAGCCCCAGAGTCCCTGTGAGCCCCCCGCTCCCGGGGTGCTTACCCAGCCACCTCGAGATCAGTCAGAGGAACTCAAATGCCAGGGTTCCTCTTCCACGTGTGCCACTAATCACAGGTGTAAGCAGGACACACGGCAGCAGCAGGAGGCCTCCGGGACCTGTCTCCTGCCAGCCTCCCCTCTGCTCAGGCTCCACAGTCCCATTCCCGCCTCAGGACCTCCGACCGACTGGCTGCTCCCACCCCCTGGAGCGCCTTCGCCAAGTTTCCTCAGGGCCGGGCCACACATAGGCTGCACTGTGAGTTTCTGCTCAAACCTCATTCCCTGCGAGAGGCCTTCTCTGCCTTCCCCAACACTTCCGCCCTACCTCCCCCCTCCCGCCTCTCCTCCCTCTCCTCTGTATCTGTCTTTGGGGCCCTCATCTGAAACGACCAGTGTGTCGGTTTCCTAGAGCTGCCGTGTAACAAATTACCACCCAGGTGGTGGCTTCAAACAACAGAGATTCATTCTCAAGTTCTCAAGGCCCGGAGTCCAAAATCAAGGGGGTATTGGGACCAGCCCACCTGGAGGCTCTGAGGAAGATCCTTCCCTGTCTCCCTCCTGGCTTCCGGTGGCTCCCGAGGGACCTCGGCTGCACCCCTCCCATGTCTGCCTTTGTCTTCACACCGCCTTCCTGCCTGTGTCTCAGCGTCCCAGTGGGGTTAGGATCCGCCATAAGTCCAAGATGATTTCACCTTATGATCCTTAACGAATGACACCTGTCAAGTCCCTCTTTCCAAATAATGCCTCATTCTGACTTTGCGGGGAGGAAATGAGGAGTTTGGGGAGGATGCTACTCAACTCCCTGCACCTGTCTGTGTCCCTGTTCATTGTTTATCTCCGTGTTCACCCCACGAAACAGAGGGTCTCTCTCGTTCATCACTACATACCTCGCTCAGACAGCACCTGGCACGGAACAGGTACGAAGTAAACACCCATGAACGAGCGAAAGAATGGAGATAAAAGGATAAAGGAGACAAAGCCCCTCCATTAAGCTGACAATTTAGCAAAGAATAAAACCTGAGGAGGACGAGATTATAACTTGACCCAGCTTGCGGGTTTTTAATTCCATTCCATGGGGTGCAGTATATTCAGCACCTGCTATAATGAGGTTGGAAACAGGCTATTTAGAGGAGGCCAGCAAATCCTCATCAGCTTAAGAGTTCTCCGCTAAGTAAACACCACTTGCAGTGTGGTACAAACGTCACAGATGGTGAACACGCCCTCTAGTGGCCGTGAGGATAGTTACCTCGGTGTGTTTCTACTCCGTGGCAATTGAACTCTTTCTATACTAATGTTAACTCACACCTAGAAAATTTAAAACCGTTTCACTCACAGTGCTATCAAACTACGAATTGGCAGGGGTAGTATCTATTAATGTGCTCAACATTCAGAGTTGGCTCTTACTAACGAACGACAGGACAACAGCAGGTGCCAGGCATTCTACTACGGTGTCCTCCAAAGTGCCCGGTTTTCTCTCTCACCTGGCAGTTTCCCTAACACCTGCTTCCCCTACCAAAAGATTCCTAGGATTCTCCCCATCCCACTTAAACTTAAAACAATGGTGGAGGGGCACCTGGGTGGCTCAGTCGGTCAGATCTCACGGTTCATGGGTTCGAGCCCCGCGTCGGGCTCTGTGCTGACAGCTCAGAGCCTGGAGCCTGTTTCAGATTGTGTTTCCCTCTCTCTCTGACCCTCCCCTGATCATGCTCGCTCTCTCTCTCTCTCTCTCTCAGAAATAAAACATTTAAAAAATTTTAAAACAATGGTGGAGCCCAAAACTGCTAACAATAAATGAAAGGATGCATGCTGAATCAGTGATGTTAAATGGACAAATTACAGGCATTCATAAAAAATCAGAAACTATTCTGGCTGCAAATACAAGAAAGAGTTCTAAATAATACTGCTGGCATGTGGTGAGTGGGCTGTAAGGCACAAATCAGAGGAATCTGTCAAAGAAAGCATTACTGATGTAGAAGCTAGTGATCCCAAAATCAAATGATGCCTAAAAAACTATTAAAATTAGAACAGCCCTAGATCTAGTCACCTTGCAAGTGACATCACCATTATTGAAGCCTATTCCCTATCCACTCAACAGCCACCAAAATGACCGTGTCATGTTGGTCCATGTTGTCCACAAGTAATAAACCAGACGTTCCTGTCTGTATCTCAAATAGGCAGGAAGAACCCTCCAGGAAGAGGGATTCTACAGTTAGCTGGAGTGACTGCAGAAAGCAGAATTTCTTAACATGGTTTGCCAGCGAGAGGATTTCCACTCTTCTCCCCGTCTGGCAAGTTTACTTCAATTTTTAGCT